TCTCTTTCTAGCTTAGGCATTTTTATTTCTTTCTTTTTCTCTTTATTTATAGGTAAGGATGAAACTTCTTATTTCGATCATGACCATTGATTTTCTTATGTCATTCTTAATCATCCACAATGATTGTACCTTTTGGTAAAGTATCTTAAGTTGGCATTTTTTGCACTAGTTTTTCAATGAATTTAAAGGGTTAGAGCACGTGTGTTTTGGTTGAACATAAAGTACATATACAAACAAGGAGATAACTTGTTTTTTGGCTTTTTTCAATGGCATGAGAGAGAAAAATGAATGCTCAAAGTCAATCTAAAAACTTGAAAATGTACTTTTTTTTACCATACACCAAAACAACATCGTTTCGGTTCGTTGGCTTTATTTTTAAAATGATGTTTTTTTTATTGAAAGGGAAGTTTTTTTTTTTCACACAACACTCCAAATTTTTTGCCTTTTCCATTTAGATCTTTGACTTCTTTATTTTTTTTCATCCAATTTTGACATTTTCTTAATAATTCTTTCAATTTAGTCCTTAATTAATTAAAAAATCCCTTAATATTAGAACATTTTTCAATTTAGTTACTGACTTTCTAATTTTTAATTTTTAGCTACTTTCAACCCTTTTCTTTTAATTTTTTTCTTAATTTTACCCATGATTGCATTAAAAATAGCCTTTTAATTTTGACACCTTTTTTATTTCGGTTAATGGCTTTTTAAATTTTGATTTCTAGTAAATGTCACTCACTTCCTCTCAATTTCATCATACTTCATCCTCTTATTGCATAGTTCTTGTCCTTAACCTACATGTCTCTTCCAATTTGATACTTAGCTTTATAATTTTATATTTTTGGCCAATTTTAGCCTTTTGTCTCAATTTCTTCATAATTTTATCTCTAATGATATTTTATTGTCCTTTAACTTCCCTATTTCTTTTAATTTGATCCTTGGCTTTCTAATCTTTATTTTTTCACAAATTTCAATCATTTTTCTTTTATTTGTTTTATTAATTTCACCCCTGATTGCATTAAAATGCCCATAAGCTTTTATGTGTTTTCCAATACAATTTTTTGCTTTATAATTTTCAATCATCTTTCCGATTTCAACCATTTTCTCAATCTTTCTTCACAATTAACCCCCTAATTGTTTTTTTTCTCAATTGTTTTCTTTTTTCTTTACCTCTTTTTTGTTTTTTTATTTTCTTTCTTTCCTTTTCAACTGCATATTTTATAAGTAACATTGTCGGGGAAATTTTAACTAAAAAACTGTTTTTTCTTTGATATTTTTTTTTGTTTTTTTAGGGGGTAAGAATTGAATTATAACAATAAACACTAGTTGTCATCTCAAAACATACAAAGAAAATCTGGTTGAAACCTTATTTGAATAATAAAAATCTAGGAGAGTAAAATTATAAGTGGTGTTGTTTTCATGAGCATAAAAAAAAAAAGTCACAGGGAACTCTTTTCTAATATCATTAAACTCGACCTAATAAGTCAACTTTAAAATCTTCTAACTTGATTTTTTACATAACTTGAGTAAAATTATATGTGGTGTTGTTTTCGTGAGCTTAAAAAAAAAAGGATAGGTCATAAGGAACTCTTCTTCAATATCATTAAACTCGAACTAATGAGCCCACCTTGAAATCTCCTAACTTAATTTTTTACATAATCTGAGAAACTTTGAATCACCTCTAATCAACCCAAGTTTAATCAACCCAAGTTTAATACAGTAATCATGAATTAGGTATTAGGCACGATAATAATGCATTAACTAGGTCTGTCATCTACTGTTTTTCTTTTCCTCATCCTTTTTCTCTCTCCGGTTTGCCCTACATTAGGTCTAGGTTGGATGGAATTCAATCCTAAATTGAAGAGTTATCATATTATTAAGGACTAAATTAAAAAAAAAAAACCTTAAACTATGATGAGATGAATTCAAGGTTCATTTAAATGGTTTTTATACAATCATCAATCAAATTTAATTAAGTGTAAAAAAATAATAAATGTGTGAAAAACAAGCATCAATATATAAGAAGTCCTGCCATGTTATTGTGGCGCGTGCAACATCATCCAATCTCTAAAAATGTTTTTCTTTAATATCTTTATATGTATCTTAATAGCCTTTTCATGCGTGTCGATTATTTTTATGTATGACGGTAGGCAACCAATTTTTCTCCTTTTCTTTTTCATCTCTCCTCTCCATAAATGCCACAACTTTTTTTTGTTTATTTTCATCCTTTAAGGGATTGATGTTTTTCTAATTATCAATTATAGTTTTTTGAGTTCTAATCTTTCAAAAAAAAACAAAAAGTTTGAATAATATTGCAAAAAATCATGTTCGAGTCAAATGGCAGATTTGTTTGTACTCCTGAGAATCTACGATCGAGTTCAAATAATATTCCATCATCTAGCTTCCCAGTACATTGTACAGGAAAAGCCTTGTTGAAGATCAATAGTCGGCCTAAGTGCAATCTCTAGTCGGTAATCGAGTTTCAAATGCCCTGTGGACTTCGATGGGCTGGCTGCCCAAGCAGGAGATCAAAGCATACCGAAGCCATTTTACTCTTTCACAGAGCACGGCCCTTCAAAATCAACCCAGTTGCTTTGACGCCAACTAACAAATTTTACTTGAATAAATTAGTAAGCAGATTCTTTTTTGCCTTCAATCTTCTAATTCTAGCGAGAGTCTACGGAGAGGGAGCTCCACCCTAATTAAAAAATGCTGAAACCTATTGAAAAACACGGATGCTCCACCCTAAAAAAAAAATTTTTTTACTTAAATAATATATTGATTTTTTTGTTATTTCATAAAAAAAACTTAATATTGGTTTTCAAGGGTAATTAAGACTTTTCAAATGATCTATTTCTCATTACAAAATTAAATGGGAATAAATAATTATTTTTTCATTATAATTGTACAATCAAAATAATATTAGAAACAAAAAAAAATTAAAACCTAGCAACAAAGAACATTTTTTATATTTTTATAATAGTTTTTTCTTTATTATAATATTAGTCTAACGGGAATTTGATAATTTAACAAATATAACAAAGAATAAATAATTAAAATATATAGAAAAACAATGAAAATAACTTTAAAAGCACAAAAAAAAATTTGAGTTAGAGCTTTTTTATCTTTTAATAATTCTTTTTTGTTGTAATTATAAAGTCAACTTGGGGATAATTTAATATTTAACTAAAAAAAAAGAAAAAAGATATGTGATGCACCCGGAGGCATCAACAGGCATCAACACACTTCAGATAACTCGTGTAATATCTCTTGGCTTTCAAAAATCACTTCAGATAGCTCGTGTAATATCTCTTGGCTTTCAAAAATATATTTTTGCTATATTGTTGGAAGCACCGTTATGTTTTCTTCCCTGTGGAGTGGTGCATGTTAGAGTTGATGGTCTGATTTGTTATTGGTTAGCCTTTTTTTTTTTGGCTATCTAATAAATTATATCTTGATCTTTTTTAATTTTGACTCTTATTCTTTTAATTATTTTTTAAAATCCTTTTGTACAATTGAAATTTTTTTTCAACTTCATTTTTCAATATTTGATTGATTGAGGATTGAAATTTATGGTTTTTTCAAATATAATATTTCAGGTCTAATGATCCAGGTCATTAATTTGAAAAGTTAACATAGTGTTTTTAAGGCTTTATAATTCTCTTTATTTATTTTATTAAGTTATTTCAATATCATGATTTAGGCTATAAGTTTGACGAGATATTATTGGTTGGCTTAATCTTAATTATTAAGGTTATATGTTTATCATGCTAACTTGGGTCGACCAATATTTGTTTTTATATTTTTTTACCTTATTTTGCTTTTTTGTATTGAATGGGCTTTAAATTGATATCAATCATTTGCCTCATTTTGAAAAATATATATTTTCCTTGAGTTATTGTAATTACTTTTATTTTTATGTTTAATCTTTCTATTATCATTTTTTATTTTTTGTCTAATTAAAATAAACTCAATTTATTCAATCTAGCCAGATATATAACCCGAATAATATATATAATTTTTCTTTTTAGAAAACAATTGCAACAATTAAATATTATTTTTTAAATAATAAAAAAATTAATAATCTAGCACAGCAAAACGCAAGCACCAAGGCTAGTCATTACTAATTCCTAGGACTGGTTATTCTTCTTAATTTTTTTCTACTACATGAAACACAAAATGTAAGCTTAAAGAAACCTGAACCCCTTAAGATGAAACCCATTGTTTTATTCATGCATAGCAAAGAAATGATGGTTAAGAGAATAAGTAAAGCTCAGGCTAGATGGAAAGACATGAAAATTTCAGGTTAGATTTTTGTTGTGTAAAAAGAGTGTTTTTCTAAATTGATACAATTAATCTGAACGAGAGGACGGACTGTTACTAAATTCGCGAATGGAATTGTGGTCGCGAAATCACCCACATCAATCACTTTCCATGAACTGTACTTATCTAGATTTTGTTTTCTTGGTCGATTGATTATTGACAAAAAAAAATTGAAGGAAGAGTCAAAATGCACAGTCAACGTCACCCTGAATCTTAGGCTGAGTTCCATCAAGGTACGTCGACACGCCATGTCCCAATAGTAATTTTCATGCTCTCTCTCTCTCTCTCTCTCTCTCTCATCTTTCGGATCACCACATGACCTTGTTCTTATCTTCCTCACATTACCCAATCTTTTGGCCTCTCAATCTCTCTAGAGGGCTATCCCGAATTGTTTTGAGGATCTCTCGAAACAATCCACAAGAACAAAAAATAAAAAATAGAAATGGAAATTACAGGAAAGCCAGGAGACAAGACGAACCCAATTATTATTTTTTCTAGCTATTTTGTCTTTTGCTGATCTTTTGTTTCTGGATTGTGCATGGGTCTCTTTTTGTCTCTCTTGTTAGATGGAGTCTCCCCTCCTTAAGACAAAAACAGTTTTAGTTCTTTCCTCACATCGTTTCTTTTAACACAACAAAAATCTAAGTCCTTTTGCTCCCATTTTGGATTCTCTTTCCTTCGTCCAAGACATAACTAATTCTTACTTGTAGTCTTTCTTTTAGCGTTTGTGTTTTGTGTTCACTCTTTATATATTTTTGGTTGATCATAAAGTTCTTGTCTTTGGCTACTGGATCTGCATCGAGTTCGAGAAACATGGGGTTTGACGACAATAACAAGACGATAGGAGGAGATGATAGTGGGGTTATGAAAACAAATGATGAGAATCATGATGGAGGAAAGAGGACAGAAAGGCAGATGAGTGAGAGTGAGACTTCTTTGTATGCAACTGATCACGAGGAGGAAGATGATGAGAGCGGAAGTAACAAAATTCAGCTAGGTCCACAGTACACCCTCAAAGAACAACTTGAAAAAGACAAGGTTTTTTTTTCGTTCATTCATTTTCTTTGCCGCCATTGCATTTTAAATTATGGAAATGTATTTGCTAATCCGTTTTTCATGTGTTGGTGTGTGGATTTTGGAAGTTCAGGATGATGAGAGCTTGAGGAAATGGAAGGAGCAGCTTCTTGGGAGTGTGGATTTGAACACCATTGGAGGTACTCGCTAGCTGTCACGTATACTTTCTTTTTCCCTATCTAAATTTTGTGAGTTTGTTGGATTCTGGGTTTCTTTTTTTAAACTCTTCAAATAAATCTTGGTTTCTATTCTTTTACATTTTCATAATTGATGTTAATTATGTGTTCATACAAAGAATCTTGAAGTAATTGATGTTAATTATGTGTTCCTGCAAAGAATCTTGAAGTCCTTTCGTTGTGTACATGCAAAATTCTTGCACCATATATTTTGTTAGCTAGTGGTGTAACAGAGAAAATTAATGATTAGGTATCTGCATGTATACATAGGCGATATATAGCTTCTTTTCTAATCATCTGCCCATTGCTTTTAGTAAATCTTGTTTTTCTTTTACTAATTGCAGAAACACTTGAACCAGATGTGAAATTTCTTAGCCTGTCAATCCTCTCTCCTGGCAGACCTGACATTGTACTTTCTATTCCTGAGAACGGGAGGCCCAGAGGCTTATGGTTTACATTGAAAGAAGGCAGTCCCTATAACCTGAAATTCTCCTTCCAAGTCAGCAATAACATTGTATTAGGCCTGAAATACACCAATACTGTCTGGAAAACAGGCCTCAAGGGTGAGCTATCGACATCCTAACTCACGCCAAAACTTGTGTTTCAAACACTTGAATGTTTCCCCTTTGTAATATAGTTTTATCAATTCAGTGGACAGCTCGAAAGAAATGCTGGGAACCTACAGTCCTCAGCCAGAGCCTTACACGCATATGAACGCACAAGAGACCACGCCCTCGGGCATTTTTGCTAGAGGATCATACTCAGCAAGGTCAAAGGTTAGTTCAATCCCCTCGTCTTTACTTTAAAGTTAAAAAATGTGCCAAAAGCTGTGAAAAAGTAATTCACTGCTACTAATTTTATGAATGACATTAACCTAATTATAATCTTAATTCTGGACTTCATTGTGGAAATGTACTAAAGTTCATGGATTAAAAAGTAAGCTAGCAATTCTCTTAAAGCAAACACAAGACATTTCTTGCTCGGATGCTTGCCATGCTACCCTACCCTATCTTTGAGCTGATATCTTATGTCTTGTTTATGTCTTGGAAATTTTTCTTTTAAAAAATAATTTTTATACAAAACAAATTTTTGAAAAACAAATTATTTTATAGTATTTAGTAGTATCATAAAAAATAAAATATAAAACACTTTATAATGCTTGGCTATCCCATAAAAAATGAGTTGTAAAAACACTTATTAATATTTTTATTATATCATATATCTATATATAATTTATTTTATAAAATGTAACTATACATATAATATAAATATTTTAAATATAATATTATAGATATATTTAAGTAAAATTTATTAATATTTTTATTTTTAAAACCTTGTTAAATATTTTTTAAGTAAAATCTATTAATATGTTTAATTAGTTGTATAATGAAAAATAAGAAAAAAATCTAATCTTTGAACATTTCAAATAAAATAAGTTAGAAAATATTACTTTTTAAGTTATTAACTTTTTTAAAATAGTAGTTTTTTTATCAAATATTTTTTGATGCATGGATAATATTAAAAATCAATTTTTTTTCTATGATATCCTAATTTTATAATGAAGTTGTATGATTTAAAATACATGACTATTGTATAGTATAACATGTTTTGTATTCAGTTATATTTTTTAATAATATTATCTAAATTAAAGTATTATATACACCAATATATCAAATTAATATATTTTTATATTAATATATCCTAATAAATTATTTCGTACATAAATATATTAGTAACTTATTATTTTCTAATAATATTATGTTTTAAAGTATTTTCATTGCAGTCATCTGCTAATGAACGCCATCAACTAGATGTCCTTGTATTGCAAATTGCAACATAGCATCTCCCCTTTGTCCTAACTTTTTTTTTTTCTTTGAACTTCCTCAGTTTCTTGATGATGATAAAAAGTGCTACTTGGAGATCAACTACACCTTCGACATTCGAAAAGAATGGCCTGCTACTTAAATGATCAGCAGCAATTTTCCAACAAGCAATCCACACATCGACCTTAATTAATTAATTAATTAATTATCTTGACCTCCATTAGCTTCAAGCCTTCTTCCCTCTTCAGCCGATGTTTAGTTGCTGTGCCCACTTCCATTAACTGCCTGTAATCATCTCTGTGGTCAGTTATCACAATAATATTTTGTTTAAGTTTTTTTACAGAATATTTTAGTAGTAAGGTATAAGTCTCGTCTTCAATTCTTTTTTCTGGTATTAACAATGCAGCTGGGACATACTTTCATGTCTCTTTATTTTTTTTTTAGGTAAATTTGAACTTTGATATGAGTATATTATTAAATGGATACTCATCTTCCTTTACTTTATTTATTTCTCTCATGCAAGGAGAGTGTGTATAGATTTATTACTAATATATCTAGCTTATAAATTGATAGAATCAAAAAATTGATATCTTCTCCTAAATGCAGGAGTGTCAAAGTAATAAATAACCCAGTAAAACTGAAATCGAACCATAGAGAAGTTAATTATACAGATTATAGTTAACAATAACAATAACAACAATAGTAACAATAACAACAACAATAGTAGTAGTAGTAGAAGAAGAAGAAGAAGAAGAAGAAGTTGATAAGAACTTTGAGATGAAAGATTAATGTAAGTATTAAATAATGATAACAACAAATGTTAAGGTTAGAGGATCCACTAATGGTATGTCAAACAAGTATAGTATAAACTCTTATTATTCAATTAGCAACCACACACAAAGGAACTTCTAATTAAATTGACAATATTCATTTTTGAAGATCAAGACACTATGTTACACACTTTACCAAGGGCAAGGAAAAAAAAATTACCCTTAATATGGCTAAATTTTGTCATTTTGTTGACTTGGTCGAATTTGTCAGCAAGGGTGACAACTTGAACTTCCCTAAGATTTTTATTCATATCTGAAGTTCTAGGACTCCAAAATAGGTGAGGTTAGATTCGTTGGAAAGCTAACACTCCTGGATACAATTTTTATGAAAGGACCCTTCCTAGATTTTATCTTCTTCATGTACAAATTCTCTTAAGAATTAGAGTGACAGACCTGCCTCATTTCGTCAATAGACAAAGTATCTCTAATTTTATCTTCAATCCCTTCCTCCTCCTTTAATACAGCCATGCATTCACCATACACATAGCAACCCGTTTAATTATAATCTCCCCAAGTTATTTGCACTCACTTAATTTATTTATTTTTACTTTGACTGAACCTACCTAAAGGAAGTAAGGATTCCTCCTTCTTCTCGGTGATGTAATTTTTTTCTAGTTATCAATCACATTGTAACAACACATCTCAACTAATTAAACAAGAAAATCATAAGTTTTTTTTCTGTTTTTTTCTTCCCCTCTAGTGGTCGGCTACCTTGAATCTTCTTTTTTTCTTTTTTTCTCATTGCACCACCTGCATTCAAGGCCATCCATACCACCTTAATAGGTCTAACTTCAAGAAATTTTGCATTTCCTCTAAATTTTATGTTCGAGAACCCTAATTCTTAATTCAAGAAAGTTATGAAATTTTCAATCAAATTGAAGTTAATTTCATAGAAATTAGAATTAGAACTCATTACTCGGATAAAATCTATGCTTTACTTCTCAAAATTTGAAAACTCTTAGTCTTCTTCTTATTGCATATGATTGCCACTCTTCCTTCTTCTTCTTTTTCACAGTTCTCATATTTGTTTTCTTGCAATTTCTCTTGTATAATAATGGTCTTCTCCTTTATGCTTGTCTAGAATTTGAAATTTGTTAAACTTTGGTGTTTTTCTCTCATATTTTGATTGAAGAAAATATAAAAATCCCCTCTTTCTTTGATGTATTTCAGCCGGCCATGGAAGAAAGAATAAATGGGGTATTTATAGTCACATTTCTTTTTAATTCCATTTTGGTCTCATCTTTCCCACTTTTCATAATTAAGCCACTCTTTTATGTTCTTTAAAACCAATAAATTTTCTCATCATTATATATATATATTGTTTTGTAGTATAAAAATTTAAATCTTTATAAATCCCCCCCCTTTTTATATAATTTGTTCTCAGGTTTTGCATAATAATCTATAAGTTGATATTTATTGTTTATTGGTTACAAGGGTACTATAATCAAACTTGATATTGTCCCAATATTATTTGATCTAGGATTCAATTCTAGTATTTAAAATTACGTAATAGGTTAGATTTGCGTTAAGTTATAAAAACATGTTTACTATTATTTATTTTGACCTATTCAGTTTCTTTCTAGTATATTTGGGTATTTAGGATTCAATTAAGTCTTTTTATTAATTTTTACTTCTGTTTTATTTTGATTCTTCGTATCTATCATATTTTGTATTAATTCATTTTACTACTTACAAAATCTTTATGATTATTTTGTTTTACGTGGTTTTATTATCTTATTAATTCTTGAGTCACTTTATATATAATTGGATTGCATTATGATATCCATTGATTTTTGGTTTGTTGATTTCCAATTCCAAAAGAACCAAGAGGAAAAGGATGTAGTGAGAATAATTGAGTGAAAGGCAGTAAATTGTGTGAAACACGGAGTTGTGAGGTATATTTTTCTTGCTACTAATTAATTTTTGTAGATTAAAAGATATTGTCTAAAAATAATAAGTTTGTGACTCTAAAAACAAATAACACCTTTTATATATAATTTTTCTCCTAGCAAATTAAATAGTTAATTAGGGTAACAAAAGATTTGAAAGATGTTATGACTTTAATGAGACAACAAAATAGTAGGTTGGATGGATTGAGAATGGGGCTAATTGGTAAGGAAACACTATTCAAATGGTTGTATAAAATGTTAAAACTGACTTTATTGATTTTATAGATGAAAAAAAAATATAGATGATGATGACTATAACTTTGTATCCATGGGAAATAAAGGGAGGAATCAAAGCTGAAAGAATCTTAGTTTTGGCCAAGGTGGAACATCCAGTCAAAGGGAGAATTCCCATGATTTTTTTGCTTTGAGAAGATCCAGGTAGAGAATTAGGTCCAATTAAGATGAAAATACATGCTTTGGACTCGATGAATATTAGGGGTTCGGAATAATTCTCAATCCTAATGTCAATATTTATAACTCTAACATTAATGAATACCGAGAATACTTCTAATTTTGGCATTAGTTAATATAAATAATCATAATTTTAGCGTTAGTGAATAAATAAGTAAAATTTAAATTGAAAACAAAGCATATTTTTGTATTTTTTCAATGAGGGAGCTTTATTTAAAAAAAAAGATTTATTTTTTCAGAGGAAAAACAATTATATATTTTTTTATATCGAATTCATATCTTACAATATAAGTCTATAGCCCAAATTCAAAAGGATCCTTGAATTTTTTTGAAAAATTTAGAAATTTTTAAAGGACAGTTTAACTAGATATTAATATAAAAACAAGTTAAAAACTAAATAAAAAATACATAAGGGTTTGTTTGGCTTAAAAATTGGGTTGGTTAGGCTGAGGCCTAGGTCCAACTTTGTTAGTCTCAACAGTTCCCTTTTTTTTAGAAGGAGGGCTAGCCCAGTCATATAAGTTGGGCTCGATTCAGCCTACCCAGCTTGGTCACTAACCCAGCCTAGAGACCAAGCTTGCAACCACAAGTGCATATGAATTATAATTCACATATGTTTGTAGAAGAAAAGAGGTAATTAAAATGAAGATGGGAGAAAAAAGCTTACTAGGCATAAGGGTGTCGGGTGTCGTTGCTGGTGGCACTAAAGGCTGGCGTTGCTAAGAAAAATCTCTACTCATGTTATGGAGGTTGGCGTGACTAAGTCTTCATAAAAAACAACCCTAGTTTGTCTATCCACTTGTTGAATGAAAATGTATGATCGATTAATCTGATTTATATTTTTATCATTATTTTTATTTAATATTTTTTAAAAAAATTAAATTAATTTTTATTTTTTATTTGAAAACTCCAAATTAGGTTATGATAAAAGTAGGGTCTTAGTTATAAGGATACACTCCAAGCTCAAGTCAAGGAAGATGATATTGATCAATAAAGTAAAAATATCTTTGATATGTGTTGCCATGTATAAAACATGTAATTTGATTATAGATAATGAAAGTTGTGCTAATGTAATTAATATTATCTTTGTAAGTAAACTGAACTTGTGTACTATTAAGTATCATAAACCTTATAGATTGTTTGCTCACGATGTAAGAGGTTAGTGTGACTAAGTTTTCTTAAAAAACAACCGAAGTTTGTTTATCCATGTGTTGAATGAAATTGCATGATTGATTAATTTGTCTTATATTTTTATCATTATTGTTATTTAATATTTTTTTAAAATAAATTATTTTTTATTTTTTATTAGAAAACTCAAAATTGAATTATGACAAGGGTGAGGCCTTAGTTATAAGACATATACTTCAAGTTTAGGTCGAGGAAGATGATATTGATCAGAAAACAAAAAATATCTTTCATACGTATTGTCATGTACAAAACAAGATGATAGATACTGAAAATTGTGTTAATATAACTAGTACTACCCTTGTTAATAAACTGAACTTGTGTATTATTAAGTATCATAAACCTTATAGATTGTAATAGATAAAATATAATTAATTTCAAATTAAAACAGGCAATTAAAAATAAATTTAAAATATTTTACTCTATATTTTTATCAATATTAGTTATCATCATTACTTCTTTTCAATTTTGTCAAAGATAACAATATAAATAAAAATTATCTTCCTTAACCTATAAAAAAAACATAAAATAAAAAAGAAATAACAATCATCATATCATAAATAAAAAATTAACAACAAAAAGTCACTAGAATCAAGAGATGCAAAAGAAAAAAAAAAGTCTTTAAGTAAACATATATTTTGATTTCAGCTAAGTAGCACAATCGATATTATTAATTAATCAAAGAATAATTAATTCTTATTTTTATAAATTAGAGCAGATGGTGAGGAAGAATAATTAATTTTTATTTTTATAAATTAGAGCAGATGGTGAGACACAAGGCAAGATTTTGAAATTTATAAATAAATTTTCTTCCTTCTGTTCTGCTTTTAAAAGAAAAAACATTGTTTTCTTATTTCTGTTCTACTTTTAAAAATAAAAAATAAACATTAGCTAGCAGATATAAAATAAGATGTTGTCCAAACAGATATAAAACAAATGAAAAAAATGTTGGCCAGTACTTTCATTTACTTTTGCCTTTTGCTATAAAGAAATGTAAAAATAACACTTCCGGTCTTAAATAGGTATTTTAGCTATTCATTTAGTTAACCAGTTAGAATTTTTAAAAACAACAATAAAAGCTAAAAATACAACTTTCTTTTTTATTTTTTTGCCTCGTTTTTTTTTTTTTTACGTTTTTTAGTTGCCTGGTTGGAGATGCTCTAGCCGTTTGTTTCTACGTTACATAATTGTTACAATAAATAATAACCACAATTGCAGGTTTGATGTACTCTGCATAATTCAAGGCAGTGTGTTATCTCTGGGTCCTGATTGCAGGCTTAAGTTGCAGCTATAATTTGTAGGATTAAAGGGCAGCGATGCATTTAATAGAAGACTCTCTCTTTTATAATAATACTTTAAAGATAAATTAAAAATATTTTCCAAAACATTAAATTATCAAATCTCGTTTCATAATATATTTATAGGAAAACTGAAAACTTTAAATTTCATGTTTTATAATAAGACAAGAAACATTTAACTAATTAAAAGAGCAGATTCAAACATCTTTTTTAACATATTTGGAAAAATCATTCGACGCCTTCCCATCAATCCCAAAGGCACCAACATTTACAAAAAGCATGAACCTGGAGCCACAGAGCAACTTCACTAGCTTTTCCTTTTCTAGCCGCACGTGCCAAATATATGAATATTTGTGAACAGTGTTTTTCTAAAAACAAAGGGTGGCCCATGCAGGTTTCGAACCTGCGACCTTCGCGTTATTAGCACGACGCTCTAACCAACTGAGCTAATAGGCCGTCTTGAAACGTGGGCTCAGTAGTTTCTATATCAATAAAAATATCTAGATTTATTCTTGACCAGACGTTCCATGAATGAGAAGGGGTCTGATGTGATTCTGTAAGCATATCATATATTTTCTATATCAATAAACATATCTGATGTGATTCTGTAAGCATATCATATAGAGATATCCTTCAACTCTATGTTCCCATGGCTTTCTGTTTCTTCTTCTGATTTGGAGAAATTATCTTAGTTCATACCTAATGCCAAATAACAATATTCGGTAAAAGCATCCCTTCTTTTAAGAAACTTACTGCGCACTAACAGCAGCAGTTCTATGAGTATTTACTTTGTAATATTAGGTAGCGATCCATTACTATTCTTGAAATAAAAAAGATGGAGATTGTAGAAACATAAATGTATTTAATTAAAAAAATAGAGATATAAAAATAAATATTTGTATTTTCAGAATGGGAGGTAAAAAAAATAGATAATATTTTTTTATTTCTAATATATCCTCATAAAAAACTTTCAATCTCAAAATTATCTAACTAAGATATACAAAGATAAAATATGTTATTGTTATAGTTTTGAAATCTAACTTGGAAATTGATCCGAAACAAAGCTTGAGTCACTAGTCAAGATCCGGGTTATGAATTGTATTGATCCAGGTCAATATAAGAATAAAAACGGTTATTATCATATTTTTAAATCAAATTCGAGAGTTGACTTAAGGTAAGAGTCAAGTTATGAGTGAGTTTAACTGTTGATCTAAGTTAATGTATGAATAAAAATGATTATTATTATAGTTTTAAAACTCGATTTAGGGGTCGAACCATGATAAAACTCGGGTCATGTGTTAAGAAAATCAATATAAAACAAAAGTAATTATTATCAAAGTTTTAAAATTTAATTTGAGGGTCAACTCGAGGCAACACCTAAGTCACAGATCATGAGGGTCAACCAGGTCAATGTAAGGATAAAAATTATTATTATCATAGTTTTAATATCGAACTTGAGGGTCAACCAGGGTGAATCCTAAGTCACGAGTTAGAGGATCAACACAGATTGATCCGAGTTAATACATGAATAAAAATAATTATTATCATAATTTTTAAACCTGATTTGGGAGTCAATATAAAGCAAAGTTTAGATCAGTGGTCGAGAAGGTCAACCAAGTTTACCCAAAAAACTGAAAAATAATTAAAACAACCTTATTTTGATCAATTTGTTTTTTCAAAAAATTTAATGGATTTTTAATTTTGGTTTTATCCCTAGTTAATTTAAATTTTTTATTAAGTCAGGTCAAGTCTATCTTTTCTTTATTTATTTTTAAACTTGGATTAGTCTAGATTCAAGTCAACCAATCAAGCTAATTTTGATTTTATAATATTATTAATTTCAACATTCAAATATATATTAAAGTATAAAAAAAAATAATGGGTGGTCCATATACGAGGATTATTAAGTGTGTTGGCCTCATGTTTTTTAGCATTAGAAAAGGAAGTACGATGGAGTCTTAAATAAAACCTTTCATAGATTAAGAGAGTTAACACATGTTCTAAATTAATATATAAATAAAATTAATTATTATTATAATTTTAAAATTTAATTTAGAAATTAATTTAAAATGAAATTTAGATAACTAGTCGGGATGGGCAACCTAAATAATCAAAAACATAAAAAATAATTAAAATATATTTGTTTTGACCAAATTTTTTTCTTTCAAAAATTAAGATTTAAGTTTTAATAATAATTGCATGGTGTTTATATATATATATATAATCATGCAACGGGAGAAGGTTGCCCGCCCGATTATATATATCATGGTACTCGAAAAGTGATAGACATGGCCACGCTAGGCTATCCTTTTTCCTTTTTTTGGTGACCCTTTGCCACCTTCGTGAAATTATTTGTTGCGGGTGGTGGCATAATGGGTGGTCCATATTCGAGGATCAATGAGTGTGTTGGCCTCATGTGTTCTAGCATTAGAAAAGGAAGTCCGATGGAGTCTTAAATACTCCAGCATTGATCAATTTGGTCTCTACCGTTAACAGGATGTATGTTTTCTCGGTCTATGGATTAGGGTCTTTTCACGTTCAAGAAGATCCAGGTATCATCACTTGACAACGTACCAGAGGTCAAGAGTTTAAGCTCTGCGACTGTAGTTTTTCTGTTGATGGTGGTTGGTGCCTTGGAAATATTATAGAGTTTTCAACATCTACCGGTGAGCAATCATTTTCCACCTCAAAAATGCGACGTCATAAGCTTCTCAGCCTCTAATCACTTCTGCAAACACTTGGGGCCATAAAGTTCCAAACATGATAAGAACATCATAATTACATGGTTCAAAATAAACTATGAATCAAGAAGATGATACTCTACTTGGGATGGAAATAAAAACTCACGCCCACATGCATAATCAAAAAATGGTTTTAAATCAAAGCAAATGGCAAAATCCAGATATAGCCTCTTCACATAGAATAATACACATCAGGGAAATCCTCTCCTACAAGAACACGACCAGCACACCTATGAGTGCGAAAACCAATTGACTCCAAATATCTACACCGAAGATCCTGTAAGAAGAATTTGGAGGGGAAGTTCCTGGAGCGCTCCCATCTCCAGTCCTGTCAGATGATGGAGAATCTGCAGCAAGGCTGGTTTCAGGGGCTGGGGCTGGGGCTGGGGCTGGAGGTATATCAGCACCAAATATCGACTCAGGAAGGAGGACTCTGTCAACTTGATAAACTGCAACGGGATCAGTTGAATGCACACTACTGCTAACTTTGGTTTTTGACCATCCTGAATCAAGGTGCACAGTCCCAGATACATCTGTGAAATTCAAAGCATATCCGCCTGCACCAGCAAATGTGCTAACAGGGCTTACTTGGCTAAGGTTCTTAAAATCAGCCAAGGCGTAATAGTGTGGCAAGGCATGGAAAAGAATGAGTTGCTTCAGCTGGTCTTGAGTTAGGTTTGACAAAGAAGGCTTCTTGAGATTTTTGAAGGCATCATCTTTTGGTACGAAGATGGTAATGCCTTCATCAGTGTTGTTGGCTTGGTTTTGGAAGGTGTCAACGACCTTAGTGGATTCAAGGTAGCTAAGGAAGGTGTGGAATGGGCCAGCAACAGAGAGCAAATCAGTGAGGCTAACGTAAGGAGGTGCTGGTGCTGGTGCTGGTGCTGAGGACGGAGTCGGGGCTGGTGCTGGAGGACTAGCTGCAGTTTGAGCATATGCTGCTGGAGTGCACAAAAACAACAGCGTGCTACTAAACATAATAATCATGGAAAACTCCATGTTTTTTTTCTTCTTAACAAAATTCTCTAAATTCCTGCAAGAATCAAACCAAAATCCCATAGTTGATGACACCTCAAATTACGATCACAAATCCTTCAACGGCAAACCAATACAAATCCACAGTATGAGCAGAAAAACTTGCTAATTGAAGAAATCAAAACCAGCATTTCAAAATCAAGGCAATTAAGATTCCCAAATCCATAAAACCCAATCACCAAATCTTTGTAATGACAATAGAAAAGAAATAGCATGCATAAATGGCAAGGATGAAATACCATACACAATCTGCTAAATCCCCAGATGATCAAGTATTCTTGCAAAAAAAAAAAAGATCAAAATCCCATTTCAGAGTACACTACAGCTTGTCCTTTTTTAAGGAAAAACAGTGTTACATTTGATGTTTTCCATTCTCTTTCATCTCTATAAGTTTGCAAAAGCAAGTCAAGACAAAGTTTGCTAGACAAAAAGAGGAGAAGGAAAACCAGCACCACACAATGTAGTTGAACATAGAGCAAAGAAACAGATCTAGATCAGCTCATTCCAACATTGCAACGGTACTACTTATCATGACCATTTAGCATTTTTAACAATAAAAAGAAAGGAAGAAGAAGAATCAGCAGCTATGAAGTGCACTAACCTGACCAAGAATTCAGAGAGAAATGGTTGTGTTTAGGGGATACCAAATTGCCAATGCTAACAATGATGCAGCACAGAATGAAATGAGTTGACACTGCATATATAAAGATGGATTTATGACGAGCAAAGAGTTTGATAAAAGAAAATAAGGAGGGTGGGGTGGCACAGCTGGGTTTATTACATGTTGTTTTCAGTTTCCAAACTTGGATGGTTCTTTCTCAAAGAAAAAAAATAAGGCATGCTTCGGTGGAAATCTTCACAGAGCAGGGAAAAAACAAATTAGGTGGCATTTCTTAATCAAGTATCAACAATTGTTATAAAGCTCGTTCTGACAACATGTGTCAGAAACATAGAAAAACAAACTGTTTAATTTGGTCGGAAACTCGGGTTACTTTGTATTATAATTGATTAAAACATGATCGGATTGAAACCAGATTTGAACCAATTAATTTTTTTATATATTAAAATGATATTATTTTAAAAAAAAATATTTTAAATTTAAATAGATCATTTCAACTCATAACTCTAGTTTTGCCTTAAAATTCAAATCAGGTTTTACAAATGTATTATCAATTAATTATTTTTTTCTCTGAATTTAGCAATGGAATTTGTTATATCATTATAAATTGGACTTCCAAAGGATTTTTATTTGATGTATGGCATTTGCAGTAGATGTTAAATAGGCTTTCTAATCCAAGTTTTTGAATGTTAGTAGTTGTCATGATACGTGATTTACATGCATCCACATGGTTCTATTGTATTTATACAAGTGAAATACTTAATACATGGGAGGAAATTGTAAGCTTGTATGAGAGTCTAGAAAAGGTTTTTTTTTTAATATTTTTTCTTTAAAATATATCAAAATAATTATTTTTTTATTTTTGATATTAGTATATTAAAATAATAAAAAACATTAAAAACATATTATTTTAAAGTTTTTTAATAAAAAATTCAAAATAAAAATAAAAATGAAAATGATTCAACCATACTCCTAAATAATATCTATATCTATAAAGTTTTTGTTACGCCAACTAATATTATAATTCTTAAGTGTAATATAATATTGGTAGTAATAATAGTTAAAATGTTTGAAAGTAACTCATCTTCAATTATTATTGTTGCAATAAAGATATCAAAAGAAATTAAGTGATAAAAATAAAAAATAAAGAGTTACTATTAACTAAAAACCCTAAATTGTTTAAGAATTCTCATGCCTACTATAACTTACATTGTGTTTGTTTTTAATAATAAAAATATATAATATTTTTTTTTAAAGTTGACTGAAATTGGTATGTATTTTTTTTTTTAAAAAAAAGGATAACTAAACTTATGGAAATTATTTGTAAACATATGACAGTAATTTAGGATCTAGGCTTGACAATAAAACTCAAGTACGGTTAACACCATCTCACCCGTCCCGTCAACCTTCTCCCTCGAAAAGCGACACCGTTTTTCTCGATCCAGCTGCCAGATGACAAGAACGGAAATAAAGAAATTAAATCAACTATTATCACATGAAATTCATTTTTCACCAAACCTCATTTGGTTTTTCTTCAAAATTTCTTCAAGGCTTTTCTTGTTCTTCTTCTTTTAAGAGAAATTATGCATCAATATTCCTTGTCTAACTCTAGGAATTCTTTTATTTGTCAAAAAGCATGGATATAGTTGTGAGAATATGTGAAAAATAATATTTTAATTATTTTTTTAATAACTACACGTAGGCATTTAATTGATTGAACTTTACTCGTCATTGATATATTAACCAAATATCTATAATAAAATATATGAAGCTCCAAATCGGTTGATTCATAAAAATGAATTTGAACTTTGAGTAACCAAATCGACCAAACATCACAAGTGATGATTTCTTTTAATTATTTCTAGCATTCCTATTAATTACATTTCTTTAATAAAAGATTTGGTATGCTTGGTAGAGCTATTTTATTTGTATGTTTCTTTTTCTTTTAACAATAACTTGAGTTATTTTTGGATTGGCTAAGTAGGCTAGATTATTTCAGGACAATTTCCACATATTTAATTTTAAACTTGAATGAAATAAAATTAAGTTAAGATAATTTTTTTTGTTAATTTCATTTTTTTTATATAATTTTATTATCATATTTTTTTTATCAATGATTTAAATTGTTACTGGTTTGTTAGATTGTCTTTGAACAACTAATTCAATTGAGTTATGTCAAGATAATTTTCATACAATTTAATTTTAAAATTAGACTAGGTAAGAAGTCGAATAGAAATATTTCAAGATTAACTTATTGGATTAAGTTTAGTAACAATATCAAACAATTTTCTATAACTTGAATATTTTTTATTATGTTTAAAAAAATTAATTTGACTCGTAATTTAATATGATCTATGTTAGTATATATTGAAACATTAAGATTGTGAACTCATGAGAATTTGGTAAAATTAATCTCTTAATCATAATTTAATCACTATAGGCTTTAGTTACAAAGGTGTGAGTTGTCTTGTGAAGTATTGGTTGACTTTGCGGTTCAACCGTGCTTGTAGAATTATTAATTTATTTTAAAAGCTTTAGATTAATATATTTTAATTTTTTTAATTATTATTTTGATATATCAATATTAAAAATATTTTTTAATTATTATTTTGATATATTAATATTAAAAATAGTTTTTAATAAATTTTAAAATTTTAAATACTTTAAAAATAAACTCCTATCACATTTTCAAACATTTGAAATAGAGGAAACAACATAATGAGGATTTATTTGTCCTGTCGTTGGAGAAGGTCGTATGGCAATATCAAGACCGATCCACCAAATTAGTTGGTTAGAATTTGATTTTTGCACATGGATTTTTTTAATAAACCGTGCCATTACAATTAAGCCAATGGATATCATTACCATGAAGGTCGTAATTAGTCAAATTCACCACCTATCGACACAGTTAAATTCAATTTTGTCATCTAACAACCTGATTAAGAACTTAATCTACCATTTGAAAGAGTAGCTTAAAAGTTTCTTGTCAAAAATCATATAACCTTTTCCGTTTGGTAAAAAATGTTTCAAAGGGAAGGAAAAGGGCTGAGTTGGATTCTTTAACCATGGAATGAAAGGTTAATGTCAACCTGGAGCCAGTGAGGAGGCAGGGATCAGATGGAAGGTTACTTTCAAGTGTGGATGGCAGCTGATAAGGTCCTTTCAAGGTCGAATGGTCTTGATTGTCAACCTTGCATGCTGAAATATAATGTTACTTTCCATACTTTTATCCCCTCTCGTGAGTGTCATATGTTGATGTTGCAAAGGAAAGAAAACATATGGACTCCTTTTTCTGAAAAAATCGTTATGTCAATTCAAAGTATATATTATATAACTTTAAACTTTTCCTGATAATATATCTCTTATTCGTCTATATTTATATTTGTATTTATATAGGTTGATTTTATTGAAACAATAATTTTTCAAACGATGATTAATGATTGATGATGGAGACAGTAACATGAGTTTCTTAACCTGACCTAACACAAGGTTTGGAAATAAAATTGTTATGTCTTGCACGAAACATGAACTTATATATCTTGCACATACTTCTTCTTTCTTTTTTTTATTCAAGCGCGTATGCATGGTCACCCCTATCTGCTCATATGGTGAATTTAAAAAAATTATCCTATCATTTTAAAAATAGCAACAGATTCAGATCTTCAAAATTTAATAAACATCGCATTATCATTTAAGTAGTGGAAGTTTAAATGAATGATATGCCATTATAGACTATTCTAAAAGAGGATTTGAAAGGGTATACCTTCCGACATGAAAAGGAATGATGATAATGTAATTATGATATGCATTTTTAAATAACCATCTCAATTTAATTACTTAAGTTTTTAGGTGATATTTCAAGATATGATTTATATCATTCTCTAACATACCTCTCAAATGAAAACTCTTTGAACTTAAAACTTACACAGACTCACACTATTTTATGCTTAATTTTTATCAAATAAATGAGGATAGTAAGATTTAAACTCGTGACTGCTTGATCATCAAGGTTTTGATATCATGTCAAAAAATCATCCCAACCCAATAAATTAAACTTTTAGGCAAGGTCCTGAAATATGATTTATATTATTTTTAATATGCATTTTCACTTTTCTTCATGGTACAAAGGTGTTAGAATCAAATGTGAACCTCTTCAAGTTTCTTAAGTATTGATATTAAAGAAAGAAACTGAAAAAAAAGAAAAAGAGGCACGTGATGAGTGATGAGAAATGGTGCTTTGGTTGAGGCACATGATGAGTGATGAGAAATGGTGCTTTGGTTAATGTTTTTCGATGAGTGAACCTTGTTTTTTTTATTATTAATGATGAAGATATAAATCTCTACCCAATTCATCATGTTTTTGTTTTTTTGTTTTTAACTTTATTTGATCATCATATGCCTATTTGGATGTAAAAATTACAAGAGTAACGATTTTACTATCCTTTACAATTGTATACTTATTTCTAACCCCATCATATGTTATCTACTTATTAAACTTTCATAATCTCCTCAACCAAATGTGAATACAATCATATCACACAGAACCTCGTTGACATACTTTCCAATAAAAAAAATCAAAATTTGTTTAGTTATTTTCACCTCACTACAATCATTTAATTATTACAACTAAACCAGTATATCAATCTTCTTTTAGTTCCCAAAAATGGTTAAATTGTAATGGTTGTATGATTAGATTAATGTTAGAACAAGTAGGAGTCAATTCTTATTAGTAATTCACATGTATGGAAACTATAAAATTACTAGAAATTGAATGTGAGCTTCTTTTGCACTATTTTATAAGGTTTGAACTTGAAGTTTTTTTTTTAATGCAAATGGATTCAAATTTTCAAAGTTCTTCTATCAACTTTCTTGTGAGTGAGTCAAAAGATATTTTCTCTCAACTAAGTGATTATAATCAATTAATTGATGACTTAACATACTCAAATTTAAATGTCCATACAAAAAAAATCATAAAGAAATAAAACTTTCTCACTAGATGAAGATTGTTTACTTGTCTTTACATGGTTAAATACAAGCAAGGATCCAATTACAGGAGTTGAACAACAAACA